ACTCCATTAATCACAGAGTAGTACCTTCTCTAATCTTAGGCTGGGATCCATTTTGGATTCAAGGGTGGTGTGAGACCTGACATGCCGCTACATGAAGTCTACAGTAACTTCATTCCCATGAAGAGAAGCGAGAAAGACCACTGTGGAAGCGTTTATTGGCTTGCCTAAAGAATAAGCCATTCATACAAGGTATGAATCAGGAATCGAGTCTGGAACCTTGGGAAGGATGGAAACAAAGGAGACGTGTCAAGCAAGGCATGATTGCAGATAATATTGAGTGTTGAAAGCGTGAAGACGGGCACAAACTAACATGCCGCCATTCCAAGGCCTTCAAATTATTTCTACTCTTTCTTTCTCATATGTGTGGCCATACTAAACAGTATTTATCAAATGCAATCACTCATTCTTTCAGGAAAAAAATCAATGTAGTCCAACATTTGGGTTTAACATGCTGCTGAGATCATTTAATACAAAATAAAGCGCTAAAAGAAAAGAATTGACCCCTTTTCTGCTGATCTGGAACAGTGAAATCTTAAATAAAATTGAGTATTCATTGCCTCTGATTCTCTCTTTTTTTCTGACGATGTGTAGTTTGAGTAGAAGCAGTAGTTTTTTACATGAGGCATTTTATTGTCCAATGAAAAAATTATTGACATTGAAAACAACTACAGCACATAATGAAGTTCATGGTAATTATACAATCGGAAAGGTCTTGGAAACTGTAAATTCATCTTGAAATTCAAACACGGTCTACTGAACACAAAGACAAACACCAAGAATCGCTTCACCAAGGACATGCTGAACTCATGTCGGGATGAAAGCTTTTATACAACTGTACAAATGTGCTTTTATAACAGATTCTTCTTTTTGCACATCAATTGAGAGCCTTGGCTTGCCACCTTCCAGCACAAAATGTCTTTCAACAGCCTCTGTGTTTTTAATACCCATGGCGAAGTCTATGAACAGGTTTGTTTATGTCAATGTACAAAGTGTCATGTGAAGCTTTAGCACACCGTTCCGTTCTCCATGCGAGACTTAGGACAGGAGGTACGGGATGGTGGTGGAGGCTGAATTGATGGTGCCAGGGTGCAGAAGAACCCAGCTATGAGGGTCAGTCCTAGTCCTCCCCAGGCACTGAACATGGACCAGCCATAACCATGGCTTATATCATCCGGAAGGCTGAAGAGATAACGTGGGTAGCGAGACAGTTCGAAGTTGATGCCGGCCACACAGGTGCAAAGAGAGATGATGCAGAAGGTACCTGAGGTGGGACATGACACTAGATGTTTAGAGATCAGGCACCAAGCTTTCGCCAATTAGTTTTTAAGAGAACAAACATGGAGGACTTCACATACCTCCCATAAGGAAGAGTAGACCGGCGACGTAATGCATGAGGCCTTGCTCCCAGCAACAGCCCAAAATGCCAATGGTCCAGCCAAACAGAATGATGGATAGAGCCATGCCCATGAAGCCAGCCGTCATCCGACGCAAATCTGGAGAAACAAAGACAAAAACAAATTACTGGGGGTGTCCAATCTTGCTCCTGGAGGGCCACCTTCTTTCAGAGTTGAGCTCCAACCTGCTTCAGCACACCTGCTTGCATTCTGACTAAACTCTGCAGGAAGGTGGGAATTCTAGGAGAAGGGTTTGATACCCTTGCTTTAAACTCGACTACTATAGCAAATACATTCATATGCAGGGCCTTCATGTGCCCAAGACAGAATTTGTTAAGGGTAGGCAACCCTTATTGAGGTCCCAATAAGTACACTACACCATAGTGGGAGGACCCCTTTGTAAGAAAGCCCAGGACATCACTGATGCAAACCGAAAAGTATCCCACTTACGCAGGGCATGCCAATCATCTTGCTGGATAGTCTTAGTGATATTGTAGGAAAGATCCTTTCGCGTCACTGTAGAGGAGTAATAGTACTTTATAAAGGAGCAACGCTCGATAGTTCCTGGAATAAACAAGAAAAATCATTATTAGATCCAGACCCAGTATGATAATTAGGACTTGTACACATGCCCAGTTTAAGTAAGGTGGGCCTGGAGAGTTGGGGTGGTGGTTGTCAAGCTCATAATTAGGTGGACCAAGTCCCCTGTGGAGCTGAGCCTTCTTGTGCATATGGACAAGTGTCCATATTCACAGTGTACACAGTGTAAACTACCCAGATGGTTGAGTGAGTATTGCTCATACGGTCAAAATTAGTGGTTCTCAATCCAAGTCCTGGAGTCCCACCATATTCAGATCTTGAAGCCTCTACTAACGAGCAGATGAAATATATCAAGCGTGTTAAATAAGGTAGACTTCCAGAATGCGCATTGCTCAGGTACTCCAGGACCAAGCTTGAGGACCACAAACCACTACAATTCATAGACAACTGAATGTTTAACCACCAAGATGCTCATGATCTCCAATATTGAGAAAGCATAGGTATTTTTATTCAAATGAAATTTTGCACTTTACTCTGATGCACCGATAGGCCATCTTATATACATTTAGTAGAGATGTCAAGCTTCTAGCTTTAAATGGCAGTATCCAGGCTTCTCATTATGGCAGCTTCAACAAAACATTGCATCAATACAGCCAACACATATTCCTATAAGGCACAGGTGGATGTTTTTACCTTTTTGTATGAGCTCTTCGATGTCTGGGTCAAATCCCACCCTGTAGCATTTGCTCCACAGCCCCATGTTGGTTGAATTGTAGCGTCTGCTGCACTCATCAGCCGCGCTCATCGCGAACAGCTGACGCCGGTTTCTATGCAGCAGCAGTCGGTCTTCCCATCGGTCCAGGCTCGCTCGGCTG